GGGTGGGAGGGGAGATATGGGAGGTGTTTTCAAAGCAGTCTTGGAAGAAAAATGTAAAATGTTTGAATAACCATGTACAGCTTCCTTTAAAGTGGTGGGGGAGGGGACTGAGGCGGGAAGGGGGACTGACTTCTCTTTCACACTTCCCACTCACATCCTTCATTTGCTTGACTTTGCTTTCAACGTAAGGCATACGACACCAGGATCATAATGTGGTTAGTTCAGACTCAGCACCTACTTCTCTGACTAGGGTCCATGCAGCACCAGGCCCTCCAACATAAACCTCAGCCAGGCAGCAAGGGCCCTGCTGGGCTGGCACACAGAGCCTGTGGTGGCAGAGGTGACTCGGGGTGACAGCCCAAGCGCTCCTCACCTGGTGGGCGTGGTGGTCAGGGTGGCGAACCACAAAGTGCAGCCCGTGTGATTCCTCAGAGCAAAGGGGACAAAGGGCTGCCTGCGCTTGGGGGCTTTCACCTCTGCTGCGAATGAAGAGAGAAGAATGTGAGCACCCGGGTCTTTGTGGCAGTTGCTCCCCGACCATTCCCACAGACAGCGCCCCCAACGGCCTCCTGGGCAAAGGGGCTGAAGGGGGGGAGAGAGAGGACTGCCACAGGCGTGTGGCAGGACAAACGGGGTCTCCACGCATGGGGCTGCCTGCTCTGGGGAGCCTTGGTCGTCCCTGCTGATGGGCTGTGAGGTGGAACTCTTCCCAACCCCCAATTCTCCCACAACTCTCAGGGGCCTTATCTCGGCAGAAAGCATCAGGACCTAACTTGGCTAGAAGAGAGAGAGAGAGAGAGAGAGAGAGAGAGAGACAGACAGACAGGTGGACCTCCACTACCCCCTAGAAGCACATTTTAAATAGGTAACCCAAAGTGTAGTAAGATTTATCATACATACTTGACTAAACTGTCCAAAACGCAGTACTTTTATGTAAAAGTTACAATTCAGCCTTATTATGCATACCATAACAAAATAAAAACATCCTTTCCTATTCTCTTATACAATAGTTGGGGTTTTTTTTCCCTCCCTGGAAGATCAGCGATACACCATCCCAAAGCTTTTTAAATGAAAATTTTAGCTCATTTTGACATAGATATCACCACCGTCGCTACAAGGTAGGTACTATGGAGACTACAAAAGGAGCATAAAATATGATTTCTTTTCACAAAATAGCTTCTAATCAAGGAAACTGGACAGAAACATTGATCAATACAAGACTGTAAGTAACGAAATTTTAGAAAGGTTTCACCTAACTATAAACACTAGAAGAAGTTAGAGAAGTGAGAGGCCACGTGGCCAGAAACAGCCGCAGGAGGCCGCCGGGCGCCCGGCTGCTGTGAACGCACCACTGCCCATGCTGCAAGGTGTGGCATGGGATTGAGTGTCGCGAGGAGGGGCACCGGCTCCTCTAACCAAGGGCCTGCATCTCCCCTACTGGCCGCACAAAGAAAGGAGGAGGTGGCAGCAGGACCCACGGAGGCAGCGGCAATCCAGCGCTGGGGCCTCCTGGCTGCCGTGCTCCTGCCACACAGACACCAGCAACAAAAGTGGGTGCGGCCCAGGCTCCCCGAGTGTCCGGCGTTAAAGCACAGAGGCAGGGGCAAAAGGCCGGGAACCAAATGGTCTGCAGCTGTGGTGTAAATGACATCTAGAGGTGACCGCCACCGCTGACTGCGAACACTGTAGCAGAATTAAAATCGTCTTCCAGGAAGACATGTTTCCCCGGCGGGGCAAGAAGACAGACCCTGCGGCTCCCACTTCCTGAGAAAGGCACAGGGCAGTATCCCAAGTCAGGAGTTACGACTGCCTTCCAAAAAGGAATCACTTACTTTTTTTGTCCCTTCCTATCTTCTAAAGTTTTCCAAAGTTAGTACCAGAAACACTATAAAATAAGCAATTTCCAGTTAAGGCAAGTTCTAGTCTGGTAATGACAATGGCTCGGGGAAGCCTGACAAATGGTGACATGTTTTAAAAAACGAGCAGTCTACCGTGTGTTCCCACAATCCGTGGTCAGTCTTTAGAAAGACACCCCAAGTACTTCGAGATATTCTCTGCCTAGAACACACCCATTTCTCATCCCAATTGGCCTCAGTTCCCAAGATCTGCTTTAAAAAAAAAAATTGTGTTCATCAAGTAGAAAATTAAGGAGTAGCTGTGAGGCTGCTGACAAGAGCAGAGGGGGAGTAAAACATTTAAGAGCTGTCTGCAGGGTAAACAGTACTTATTGTGGCACCTTGAAAGGCACCTCCCTAGCCAGGGCTGCGGCTGCCGTGAGAGCCGGGCTTTATTACAGTAGATAAAGGACCCAGGAGGAAAGGAAGCCAGATGTGCTTTCGTATCCCACTGTGAGCCAGGCTGCAAGTTTCCATTTGCAAATTAGATTTAAAAAGAACAGGTGGCAAACGGCTTTGATCACATTGTAATACAGAATAAAGTGCTAGGAATCCATATAAAGATATTCACAAGTATATTGCTTTGGAATTAAATAGCCTGGGAAGGCCCGCTGCTTAGGTCCCCAAGCTCCTTGTTTTGATTACACATGCGGCACAGGCTTCAGTAGCCTGCTTCTCGGAGGACAGAAATATTACATGGAGTGCTCACAAGTCCAAACCCAGCACCAGGGGACAAATCTGACATCTCCCGCGTCTGGGTCCAAATCAGCCGCGGACTTGCCTTTGGCACAGTACCAGAGCACAAAATTCCCAAGCCCATCAAAGAGAAAAGTATTCCCTGGTGGCCTCAGGAAATCAGCATCTAGTGACCAGACCTAATTTCTTCATGGGCTCAGAGAACCTGAGGCTCCTCACGCCCAACTTCAGCTTCCAATGGCTCCAGCTGAGGAAGTTTCTACCCCTTTGGTCTTGTTTCACAGAGCAATTTGGCTGTCATAAACAGTGTAAGTTTTCATCCTATATGAGCAGCTCGGTCTGTCCGGAAGGACCTGGTTTGTAAATCATGAGAAATAGATGAAAGCCCCAGGCCTGCTACTAGCCAGTCATGTGAATGAAGGCAAGTTACGAGGTTTCTCTGAGCCTCTCTGACCTCCTCAGGTAAGTAGGAATAACGTTCTGCTTAGCCTGGAAGAGTAAATAACAGACATAACGAAGCCTGGGGTATGAATCCACGAAGCTTCACTCATGGGCTTTCATTGTGAGCCATCTCAGTAAAACCTTCCAGAAAAAACCCCATAGTGCTGTCCCCTGTATTAATCTCTCTGTTCTGAACTCCTGGTAGAGGAGGCTCAATTGGCCTTTTTTCCCCCCGATATTGAAGGTCGTTTGTTGATTTGACATGACCCTGGCAGAGTCTGGTGTCAGCCAAGTGCAAACATAAATCGCCCGAGTATACGCACTCGATGGAGACATCCTGGAATTCAATTCCTGGGTGTTTACGGTGTTTTCTATCCTATCTACTTATCAGGCAAATTCTCAAGGAACCATGAAGGGCTGACAGGTAGAAGGGCAGAGCATTCTCTTTTCTATCTCCTAAGCAGCTCAATTCATAGCGAGAGAAATTAAGGTTTGTGTCTAAGCAATTATTTCCTGGGAAATACTTTCTCAGCTCCATTCCTGCCCAGGACAGCTCCCATGCCACAGAGCCCCTTGCATTACCATAAGAATGAACGTTCACCGGGTGTGCTATAAACAAGGACTGGCAGTGCTGCTAGGTGGGGGATGGTTTCCTTTCACTGGCTTGCTTTTCATGATGAGACATCACCTCTATCTGACACTGCATGTCTGTGCATGAGACGCTGTGGAGTGGACGCCATTCCCACGGAGGGTAAAGGCAGATGGAAGAGACGGCGTACACATCAGCCCATCACTTCCTTCTGAAACAAGGTGTCACTCTGTTCATTAGTGGGGAATCTCTTTCCGGCTGCTAACCCAAAGTACTCCAACCTGGGTATGCTCCCACTCATCTCCCATTCACAGGCAATTGGCGTACAAGGCAGTTCTCAAAACAGGAAAAGAAAGCAAGCCCTCGCTTGGCTATACTGTACCTCGAGCATAGATCTGGTGCTCTAGGTTAGTCAGACTGGCTGTGCTCCTAGTTCTAAGGTAGACAAGGGGGAGGCCTGGTAGACAGGAGAGACAAAGTTAGAGTAAGAACAAACAGTGCTAATAAGAAGACTCACCTGCAAAGCATAAGCACAGGTAGGATACATCACAGAACCGGCAAGCGTCATGCAGTTACAGGTGCTTACTAAGAGCTAAGAAGCCACCCGACACAGTGAGCCAGACAGTTTTGACACCGGCCTTTATTGGGGAGGCCGTGTCGAGGAAACACGCTTTTTTTCTCAATTGGGGAAAGAAAATGTATTCAACTTTCTTTTGAACAGAATGACAAGCCTTTTGAGGATTTTTAATTTAAAGCATGTATGGTCTTAAATGGCCCAGAAAAGTCGCCAACACCAATCAGTACAGATTTTAGTGCGAGTTGCTCCGTTCCGCTTGGAAAAGCAGGAGCAGTCAAATGCTAATCCCTCAGGGGCCTCAAAAATTCAAGGGGAGGAGTCCGTCTGTGTTCCAGGTCTCAACAGGCTCTACTAAGCAGTTACCACACAGTATTATTTATATTATAAATGAAACATGCACGTTTTTAGAATATTTATGTTTGGCATTTCCACAAAATGGCCTTGGAATACAAAACTCATAAGTTCAGTAAGGTACCACACTATCCAGGTTCACCTGCAGAATCTCAGCCCTTCCTCTACAAAGCCAACAACTGTTATGTCAAAAGTGAAGCCATTCTTTTCTTTCCCCTGCTGAAGAAACTGAGAAATCAGCAGCTCCCTTAGGCTGAATTTCATATGAAGAATCTCTATTCCGAAGGCTCACATTTGAAGCTGGCTTGAATAAAACATACAAATTTGGGGGGACTGTGACTAAACATTCGCGAATAAGACTGGAAAGCCTGTGGTCAGTTCAACAAGGTTCAAATCGACTGACTTTCAAAACAAATGCCCCACAATTATTTTAGTAGCTCTATTAAAATACAATCCCATGTGCTTTACTACCACCCAGGAATTTCCAATAAAAAAAAAAAAGAGCTTTGGCAATTTAGGTATCTTCACTTATGGCTAATTAAAAAGATACATTACACCTTTATAAGCCTACGTAACCATAAAAATCTGTAAGTAAAAATCCGGCTTTAATTTAGCAGAGGCATTTAACATAGATAAGGCAGCTTATGAACTATAAAGAAAGAGGAGACCATTTTAAAAAGTGTGAGGGAGGAGACAGACAAAGGAACATCCTTCACTGGAATCCTGAAGACGAAGCCTTCCTAGTGCTCACACCGGCCTCCTGTATGAATAATGCTGTTAGAAACACACTCTCTAAGACACCTGACACATTGCAAAGATTATGTAGAGTCTTCTGGGTAGACTTCCACGTTACAGTCTCTTGACACACAAATTGGGAAGGTCAGGGGGGGCCAAAATGGAAGCTATGGTCTCTGAAAAGCCCTGGCTCCTACGCAATGACCTTGAGGCTCAGAAGCAACAGCCTAGGAATACGAAGAGCAAGCACAGCTCACATCTCCTGGTCCCTCCTTCTAGGAGTACAAGGCAGATAGAAAGTCCATTTATCCACCCTGAGGAGAGAGGAACCAGTTCAAATACTTCATACACTACGAAAATCCATCTTCCCCGTGACACGTTTGCAGACCAGATGGAATATTTAAGTATTCATGAGCTATGTGAAGTCCAGCCAAGACTCCCCAAGGGAACCGCACTGAAAGAGCTGGGGCTGAGTTCAATTTGAATGACAATGGCTTGTGGAATAACTAAGGACCACGCAGTTGGCCACTGCAATCTCCCCAGCTCTGAGGAGATCAGAGCTCCATGAAGCATTAAATAAGGAAAGAAAACATCGTTAGCAGACAACACACTGACTCCTCTTTTTTCAAGAGGCTGGGTATTCAATTCTTTTATACTTGGTGAACAATACAGGGCCCCCCTTTTAACAATTTTTTCCACATGGGATCCTGCCCTCCCTCTCTTTAAGAGTATATCCAAACTCACTATCTCTGGATTGAGAAGACTGAAAAGATGTTTTTAAAAATCCAGCCCAAATGTTCAATCAGTAGGAAAGTTTTGCCGAGTAAAACACAAACTGACCAATAGGTGGCTGACTGATGTATATCCTGGTACAGCAGCTCACGGGCAATGTTACCAGAATTGAGGAACTATCGAGATGCTCTCTCTCCCACAAACGTGAAATGAGAGCTCACATTACCAGCATTTCGTGCCAGAAAAATGTCTCTCGTAAAGACTAAAATAGAACTAGCGAAGATAGTCAGAACTTCCTGTTGGTTTTTCCATAGAAAATGATGGTTCTACTTGGATCTCTCAATGAAACACGGCTCCGTGGGTCAGCAGTGATTTAGTCAGACATTTGTAGAGAAAAACCTTACTTTGTCCAAAGCACGGAGGATCCACTGAAGAGCCCATCCAGTCTTCTGATGTGGTTGAATCGATTTCCTTGTCCTGCTTACAGTAATCTGCCATCCACGATTCCTTGGTGCTTACGTATTGGTCTAGAAAAAATTCCCCAAAGACATTAAGAACAGAAGTAGAAAAGACTGAGGGTTCAAGTCAGATCGTTTCAATTCAGCAAAATACACTTTTATTGGCGGCCTCACTGCATGCTAGCAATAGGCTAGGTTCTAAGAAAGTCTGTCCACAGAAAGAAAATAATGTTAACAAAACAACCATTATCACAAAACCATTCCGCAATGTGAAAGGAGCTAAAACAAAGATATAAATAAAATTCTGTGGGAAAACAGAACAGGGGAAGATTTACTCTGCTTTGGCAGAAGTAGGGGGCTACACACCAACGTCCACGGGAATCTTTGGTGCGGGGATCTCTGTTCTGGGCCTTGAAGAATGAGTAGAGATTAGTTTGCCAATGGGATTGGGGCTACAGGCACATTCCAGGCAGACAGAACAGCATATACAAAGATTTCAACATATGAAAGTATGTGGCACAATCAGGGAACACTGATACATTGATGTGACTTTTGGCATAACATACTGGGGCAAAGCGGTCTACAAAACAGGATGGCTTATATCATCAATAAATCAACAAACAACAAATGCTGGCGAGGCTGTGGGGAAAAGGGAACCCTGGTGCACTGCTGGTGGGACTGCAGACTGGTGCA